CAAAAGCAACTTGGGGAAAGAAATGGTTAATTCTGCCAACAATTCTAGGGCACAGACCATCACTGATGGAAGTTAAGGAAGATGCTCAAGCAGGAATTGAAGCAAAACTCACTGAGAAACACTGCTTCTGTGCTCACACTCAGCAAGCAGCTAGCTTTCTTATATGACTTAGCAACACCTTAGCAAGCACCTTCCACCATGGGCTGGACCCTCCAACAACAATCAACCACCAAGACAAGTCCCTGCAGACTTGGCCAAAGGTCAATTTTATTTAGGCAGCTTTCTCATTTGAGACTCATTCTTTCCAGGTAACTCTTAAGTTTGTGTCAAACTGCTAGTAAAAACTCATCAGGACACATAGTAATAAAAAAAGACCAATACCACTTCCTAACCCCAAATGAATGCATGACTTATGGAATCTATCCTACTAATTTCTGACAGAGAGGCACGTGTTTGTTTGGCCAAACACAAGCACTGCTGCCTATGAGGATCTACTGGGAGCTGGTGTCAGGATCCCTGGTGCTTACCTAAATCCCAAATACTAGGTCCATTACATAAAACTGTGTCATATTTGCATGTAGCCAACACATATACTTCTGCAAGTACTATAAATAATTTCTACTTACTTACAGCACCTAATTCAGTGTAAATGCTATGTAAATAGTAAGCGAATTGTTTTGGGAAACATAGTGAGGTGAGAAGCATCTTCTCAGGACATATGTCCCTTTGGTTTTAAAACATTTCTACCCTTCTCTGGTTGAGTCTATAGATATGAAGCCACCTGGGTAGGGAGTGCCTGCTGGACTTGCTATCCCCCAAACCAGTGCTTATATTTGCCTAAACTTAGATGTACCCAATGAAGCAGTGGGGGAGGGCTTAGGGTTTCTGATAGTAATTATTTCTTGATTTCAGTGCTCAATCATAAGTGTGCTCATTTGTGGCAATATTAAATTATATTCTCTCATAAATTAAATTATATAGTCATAAAGTACAATGATCCAAAATTTATTTTTACTACCTGCCAGCACAACTATTAGTAGCTTGATTTTAGAATTGAAAAATATTCTTAAACATATAAAAATGGTCATGCAGTGTTACCTGGGCAGGCACGCCAGGGTTAGTCCTCCATGGGTAAAACCTCCAACACATTACAATAAAACAAAAATGCCCAAAAATGTTTAAAATGTTAACTCTTAGAAAAACTTGGCTCTTTCCTTATTTTGCACAATATATTTCCACCCCCCACACTGGCTGAAACTGTTTGATATAGAATGTTATTACTTTGATGAATAATTTTAATTTTCCATTTCAGAATGATCAAGAACACCCAGTGTTCTGAGATGTGGAGGCATTGTTTGCAGTCAGCTTTGTCACTACCTCATTTTTCAGACATAGCATCTCAGACGGACATCTCCCGGGGTGAGGACCAGGTCAAAATAAAGCATAAAGGAATTTGACATGAATTTTATCCCATTTATTGGAGGAAATATATATTTGCTTATGGTAATATAGCAATGAAATCATTAAATCACAAACAAAACCTTTATCAGAATTTCATGCCCAGCACAACCTGTGGCACCAGGGGTAGAAAAGGGCAGGCTATTCAAGTTTTTATCTTCTGAAGAAGTATACAGATGTGCACAGTAGTCAATGATACATGTTCAAATATCAACAGCAAATTAATGACAATTATAACAAAGGAAGGAAATAGAAAGGATTTTTTTTTTCATATTTTCAAAATGGTACCTCCAAAGCAAAGTTCCTGACAGTCATGGTTTCCTGGAGGTAGCTTCTGGACAAGTGAAATTGGATTAGTATTTGGGTCATTTCTTTTGCCAACATCAGGTAGTTACTTAATACCTTAGATTAATTTCATCTGAGAATTAATGTTGATGCTGATATTTCTATTCCTTCTGCAAGGTTAGGATGGGATAACCTGTAACACAGAAGGCTACCCTTTCTGCATTGCTCCTCTTCCTATGTATGAATAACCAACTACTGAGAATCTCTCATACCTAACATTGAACATGAGAAAGTTGGGGGGGGGCTGCTAAAGCTTCGAGCAATCACAGAGAAGGATGTCTTGGGGTTTAAAATGCAAGACAAATGACAAAAATTGGGACAAGCAGAGAGCAATGCAATGAGACCAAGAGAGAACCGTGCCTGGGAAACAGGAATAAACCAGGCTAATTACTTATCTAAGGGCTCTGGAGCACAGCAGTGTGCTGGGTAAGGTGAAGAAGTCAGGAATACAGAGGATGTCAGCTCAGAATACTTAACTGCCCAGTGGAAAACCAAATTGCCTCACTTTCCTCACTTTCGTTTATTTACATGAGACGCTGAGGACGGGACAGAGGGTATTAGATGGCCCTGCCTTGCGGACATTTGGGAAAGGAAAAGCTATTTATGACTGTGGCATCTGTCGTGATTTAGGTCCAGGTCTTGATGGATCAATAGCACATGGAACCAAAGGAGGAAAAGAGGGCTCACTGGGGGCAGGTACTACACCATGAAGCTTCTCCAGGTGGAGGAAACTTGTGATACACTGGTTAGTTCTTGAATATACATCAGGGCAAAAGTCTCAGAATTTGATTAGGAGGTACCGTATGAGAGGATCAAGAAAGATAATGAAAGAGACAGTAAAATGAAAGCTTGTTTATCACAGATGGGAATTTCAGCTTTATATCGCAATATAAAAAAATCAGTGGAGTCCTCTCCAAGAAAGAATGGGAAGACATAGTCAACCCCCAAATACCTGTGTTCTTTGGTTCAAAGTCTATCCAAATTGTTGAAAAGCAATGAGCTTATCTTTATACTTTGCCTAATGTCAACTTCACCATCACAACCATTAAATTCTTGAGTTATTCATTCGCATCAGAAAATATCAACTATATTCGAATATTGAAGAGATGAGCCATTGTCAGACTTAGCTATACCTACATTTAAGTTTTTAGTATCAGATCCTAAAGATGTGTTTTCAAAGGGAAGGAAAGGAGATGGGAAACCACTGCAACAGGATCTACCTTCCCTGGGAGAAGGAGCTGGCACAGAAGGCACCCTCAGGTAGGATTGCATGGGTACTGAAGTATCAGGAATCTTCCTGCCTCATCCCTCCCTAGCATACCCCAGGTCCACAAGTCCTGTTAACACTCAGCAAGGGTCTTCTAACACCAAGCGGGCTGGAAAGAGAACTCAGAATTAAGGGTGCATACAGTTCCCAGGACCCACATGGAACAGTTCACAACGTCAGTAACTCCAGCTTGGGGGGTATCTGATGCCTCTGGCCTCTGCTAGCCTGCACACACGCACGCACACAGAATTGATAACAAGATAGATTTTTTTTTCAAAAAGGAAATTATGCAAGGGCTATGACATATGAAAATCTCACTGTCAGCTATCAGCTAACCATAATCACTCATATCCAAGGGTGCTAGGACCCTGGATCTTAACATTCTTTTGGGAGGGGGTGAGGTAGGGAGGGTTCACTTGTTTTAGGACTAGGTGCTTTTAGAAACAGCCTCCATGGGTCCTAGTTAGGGAGGCCAGCAGACTGCTCCATCAGCAGGAGTCTAGTTTCCCCGGTTTCACCCACACTTTTTTGGAGCAACTAGTTCTCTGTGTGGTAGACCCGCCCGCGCGCCACCCGCAGACCCGCGCCTCCTCCAGGACCTCTGTGAAACTCGCTGCCAAAACCCAGCTGTGGTGAAGAACGCACTGCTGCGCTGTAAGTGGAGGCGGGAGAGTCCTACGCTCCTGAAGGAGTTTTCCTGGCGGCTGGGAGACCGGCGAGAGGCATTGAAGTGCGGACAGAGGAGACCAGCCTGTGCTGCCCATCCAAGAGAGCCCACTGCTCTCTCGATCCTGTTCCCTTGTCAGAGTAGGAGGGAGGGGATGGGGTCTAAAATCCCACTGGCGTCCTCCCGGTCCATGGGTACCAAGCTTCATCTTTGACCTTCCGATCCCCTCCCTCTGACTTCTCACATCCCCGCTTCCGCTCCACCCCCGGCAGTGCCAGGTCCCCTAAGGACACTCCAGATCTCGGACACAGATATTTCGCAGGAAGAACAAGAGGGTCACCCATACCCCTTACCCCGCCAAGCTCATTTTTCTCCTCTGTTCCCCCTAGAACATGGCTAACTTCTCCAGAGGTGGCCAGCTGCACCCGAAGCCCGAAAACCTATCCAAGTGCCCGAACAGTTCAACTTGGACAACTTCTTAGAATGGGGATCCCCGTGCTTTCCGGGGAAAGCCATGCTGGCTGCCCACATATCAGGAGAGGACACCTCGACTTCTCCGTGGGGAATCCCCCTCAGAATCCATTTCGTTTGGCGGCGTGGTGTCCTATAGCAGCGAATTAAGAACTCTGCAAACAGGAGTGCGCTTTGAGGGTGGGAGGTCGTGGGCAGGGGCCAGAGCGCAGAAGTTCTGCACTGGTTTTGGACAGAGAATCCGGTCCATGTTTTCAAGTCAGAAAGCTCTTGTCCGCTGGGAAAAAGATAAGACCAAAGTCGTTGAGAGGGAAGTCCTCTAGGCGTGGGTCGGAAAACTGGGGTGAACTGCAACGCTCAGTCTTTGAGCCACGTCGGTGGGAAACTATTCTTCCTCCGGGGTGTGGGGGCGGGGAGACTTCCCTGGCAAAGCAGTCGACGTCAAGCCTAGCTGCTCTGGACTCTATCCCTCTGTCCCCAGGCTGCCTGGAGAACTTGGTACCTCGGACAGCAGCCCGGGCGCACAGCATCCTATGCAAGGTGCGGTCCTATTTTCCTCCCACCAAGTCGAACACCAACAAATTATTTCGCTGACCTTTCTAATACAGATGAAGGGCGTTTTAATTACATAACCCATGAAAGATCACCGGAGGCAATGTCGTGTTTGAGAGCCCATGGCAGAATAGCTGCATAGCATGAAAAAAGACAGAAAACTTGCAAATCTGCAACGAGATTGCGCAAGGCTGTCCCTCCTCTGGAAACAACATGTGAAATGCATGGGAGATATCTTACCTTTCGGACTCCAAAGCCGTGGTCTGCTGCAACTTGGCGAGCCTCTTCCTCTCCGTCTTTATGCAACTCCACAAGAAAATGATTCGTGAAGACGGGTCTCTCGGCAGACGCAAAAACCATGACACAGAAGAGGAGCCCGGCCGCCTTCCACTGGGATCCACAACCGCCCTCCATCCTTCTTTGGGAGTGAAAAGTGGGGCTGAGAAGCGCGCAGGCGGGTGGAGCAAGGGGACGAGGAGGGAAGATGCAAATAAAAAATAGGTATGTAGTTTTTGTTTCTGTTTTTCTTTTAAAAAAAATCTTTTTATAGCAAAAGAGGCAAAAGAGAAGCTTGACAAGCAGCAAATCTGTGCGCTGTCCACCAGCAGCTGGCTGCCAGGGAAGCTGAAAAGTCGCGCAGCCGGGCTGGCTGGCAGGGGTGCGAATGTGCGGAGCTATGTGTACCCGAGAGAAAGAGCTAGTGTATGTCTGTGCTTGATGCTAAATCTGCATTTTCAGCTCCTCCTCGGCTCCAATTCCACAGGGCTGGAGGCGAGCGCCAGCCCGAGTGACGTCCGCCCGCCAGCGGCCAATAGAGGTTAGAGGAACTGTGGGCCCCGCCCCGGGCCGCCCCGAGCCCGCCCCCGCCCTCCTCAACCCTCCCCCGCCCAGCTGGCTGCCCGGGTCCCCGGGGGCGCCGCTTGTCCGCGCCCCCGCCAGCCCCAGAGAGCCTTTGCTCCGCCCGGCCGCCGCGCGCCTAGGAAAATCCCCCCGCTGCCACCAGCAGCCGGCGCCCGGTGATGTCATTGTTTGTGGAAATCTGCACAGCTCCGGGAAAGGAATTACGGTGCGTGCGGCTGTCAGAAGCCCCGAGGGGAGCAGGGGCCCCGGCCGCTCCCTGTTGCTCTTCCTACTGGTCTTCAGCTGCAAAACAACTCTCCTCTCTTTTCTCTTCTCTTTTCTCTTCTCTCTTACCTCTACCCACTTCTTTCTCCCTTCCTTTCCCCTCCCACCTCTCTCCCTTTCTCCCAATAACAAAACGAATTTGATCCTTCCCGCCCCCTCCACTTTGGGCAAATCCTAGGCTGGGAAGAGCATCCTTCCAGGGGTGACTCATGGGGGTGGAAAGGAGCTTTTCTCCCGGTTCTTTTCCCCATGCTCCAAGTAGGCCAGAAACTAAACATCTGGCAGTCCAGCGGGAGTCCGGGCTGCTCCCCCCACACCTGTGATAGCTAATAGAAGAGGCTCTTCTGGAGTCAGCGATGCACCTGCGTCCAGAGACTGCCGAGAGGGGAAGGCGTGATGCTCATGTTAGGAGGCAGATTTTTCAAACCCCGGGCTTGCAGCTGCGCCAGGACCAAGAGTGAGAGTTTAAGGAGGTGTAGTCACCCACCCAGGCGCTAGGTCAGGATTCCTGCTAGGTGTCTTTGCCTGCAGGACAGCCATGTTGTCCAGGTCCAGTAAACTGCTGAGGTCTGACTTCCCCTTCTTGCTCTAGCGTGAGTGAGGAAGTAGACAGATTCTGTTGTATGAAAATAAAGATCATTGCTCCAAGTAACTTAAATCTTTTGTAGTTATGGAGTATTTTCCAGTGTTTACCTTTCGGCACCAAAGTTCAAAATCCTTCCATAAATTGGATAATCACGAAGATCAATTTTCTCAGGAAAGGGAGAGGAAAAAGGAGGGAGGAGAAAGGAGAGAGAGGAAAAACTGTGAGTTTGTAACATTGATAAACCTTACCACACCCAGCTACACCCTCTCCACTCTCCCTCCCTTCTTAGCACAAAAATCACAGTCTAGACAAGAAACACCGGGTTGGTGGACATGAACACATGCTTAGCACACAAGCCACACCGTCTTCACTGACATAGCTGTCCCCCCCACATTGACAGACAAATGTACGCAGGCATTGCAAGATGCTTTTCAGGAGACTGTAAGTCTTCAGTGTACCACATTATCAATTGTGTTGACTTCCCTTTTAAGAAAAACCAAGTGAAACATCAAGAAAGTGGCAGAGAGGATTCCAGAGTTGAAACAGGTTTTGGGGAGATTATTGACGAAATGACAGATCAGTCCGGGAGCCTCAGTTTGGAGCTGCACACACCAGCTCATTTCTGCCAAGAATGTTTTCCTTTGTCACCATTCCATGCCCCACCGCCCATCGGACCGTAAGACAAGGTTACCTGACCCAGAGGCCTCCCATTCTTCCTCTCCTTTTGTCTTCCTTTCAGTTCATCCATATTTGGAGCCAAAGTCTCTGTTGAGTGAAGCAACAACCACATGATTCCTCCTGTCCTGTGCTGTTGTTTGAGAAAAATGGCATCAAATGTGAAAACTATATCATATAAATTTACCATGGGGGAGAAAATTTCAAAAGCAGCAACTGAGATACAAATCTAAGTTGCCTTTAGAAAACAGACCTGAAGAGCATCAAATAAGTCAACTTAAAAGGTTATAGGTGCTTGGAAATAGCAGGACTATTATAGCTAAATCTCTCTGAAATTATCATCCATTTAGATTATGTATTAATTTTTTCTGGAACCATTTCCTAAACAAACTCCAAAGATGAAATGCCAGTGTGTGCTTAATCTACTACCATGGCTAGTGTCCCCTTGAACTCCTATTGAAATTGGATTCCCTTGGTGGTGCTGGTGGGAGGTGGTCAAGTTATTGAAATGTGGTTGGATCATGAAGATTCTTCCCTCATGATGGCTTTAATATACTTATAGATTAATGAGTTATTGAGTGACAGTGGAAGTGCCATAAAAGCAAACTTTTCTTGGGTAGCTTTTATTATCTTGTCATGTGATTCTCTCCATTAGGTTATGATGTAGCAAGTAGCCCTTACCAGATCCCAATGCTATGCTTTTAGATTTCCTAACATCCTAAACTGGAAGCTCAAGAATTCTTTTAGATATCAAAGTTTTGTCTAGTTTGCTACAGCAGCAGAAAGTGGACCAAGATGTAAGCCTACATTTTAAATAATTAAAACTATAAAACCAAGTACAGTCTGAATAAAATCTCGATAACCGATTGAAGTCTGTTGTCTTTTCTAAAAAAATATTTTATATATTTGAGTGTCTTGCCTGCATGTTTTATATGTGCACCTTGTGTGTGTCTGCTGCCTGTTGAGGTCAGGAAGAGGGCACTAGACCCCCTGAAAGTAGAGTGCCAGATAGTTGTGAACCACCATGTGGGTGCTGAGAAGGGAGCCCAGGTCCTCTGCAAGATTGATACGTTCTCTTAGCTGCTGAGAGAGCTTTCCAACCTCCTGAAGTCTGCTGTGGTTTATTTAGTATATAATTTATCATAATACTGTCAGCACAGCAGAATGAAAACAGAATTTTGTGATGCAAATGCTAAATTTTTAATGCGCTCTGGTACCATAAGCCAGTGGAGGAAATGCACTAAAATATTTGATTGGTATTTGAAATGTAAATACACATTCAAGTGTGCACACATTTGCTCTTCTAGAGAAGTATTATCGCTCAAACTCTTTTCTAATATCAATAGATTTAGACAGAGAATGCCAACAGGAGGGGGGGGCAGCAGCAGAGTGACCCAGAAACCACTGTAAGGTCTGCTGTGGTTGTCAATGGATGCCGCTTGAGTCAAACCATTGACTTTCTCTAAGCCTGTATCCTGCCATCCTCTAGATCCCAAACTGTGCTTTCAGAGATGCTAAAGCCCATAGTGTGGCATAAAACATCGCCGGCTCCACGCGTGTTGAGGCTAGGCATGCTAACCCACACATTGCAATGGCTAAATGATCACTTTCCACACACCTCCCCCAGCCTTCCTACATGTCCCTAAGTTTGTGGATTTGAGAAAATAACTGACAAGTGTTGACCATCAGAACTGGATATGAAGCCCATCAAGATCTTTGAGTTCTTTCCATTTATTTTCTCGTGAAGCTGTAGCAACAACAGGGCTAATATGTACCACGAACGCCCACCTTCTCATTGAGGATATAAGGAGGAGAATATTTCCGTTTCATAATGTCTACCCCCTTCACACACATGCTATACCCTCACAAAAGTAGACACACACATGCATGGTTAGAAGAACAAAAACTACCAGAGACAAGATTGAGATTTTTTTTCATTCAGGTGTATTCAGATTCTTTTAGGGGGAAGACTTTGGATCCACAGACTATCAGATTAAGGAAACCTTGCTGCCGTGCTGGAGATGGGGAAGAGGGCAAACCAGAGTCATCCCTGTGGAGGACTTCTTGACCTGTGCCTGTTGTTTGCACCACTAGAAAAGAGAACCAATTTTCTGTTGATTTCTCTTCCACAGGCTGGAATGTAAACATGCATGCATGTGCCACTTAAGGTCATGATTTAAATAGAGCTCTGATTGCGTCTAGACGGATGGTGCACATCTTTAATCTCGGCATTTGGGACTGCAGGCAGGACAACCATGAGTTTGAAGGCTAACCTGAGTTACAAAATATCTATATCAAAAAAATACACAATCTTGATTAAACCAATTTGTGTCACCATTTTTTGTGGTATCCATCTTGATGCTTCAAATGCGGCATGGACACTTTCTCTTGGCAGCATAGATTTTTTGTTATAGTGTGCTGCAGTGTCTTGCTGGTATGTTCTTTCAGCCTTCCCTGCCCTTCCTGTTTTGAACACACCTACCCATACTCAAGATTCCTCAAGCTTTATTTCCTCTCTTCAATTCTGCCACATTTTGATCTCAACACTGAGTTCCCTACCCCCAGTTAATCCTTATATTTCAAGATGGTGCCACATTTCCCGTTGATATGAATCCTTTTGCACTTGCTGTGGTGCAGGATTCAGATGCCCGACACATTTAAATCACGTCCTCAGGTTACACTCACTCCTTCACAGTTATTGGGACTTGGTTGCTCTTATCACAACTTCCTATATCTTTTACTAATTTAATGTTTTCCCCTTAAATGATCTGTTGCTTTTTTTTAAAATAAGATGAGAATCTTCAGATTTCTAACTCATCTTTTCTAAATCATCTTAAATTAATACCATGAGGAGTATTCCTGGAGATTTGTCAAGTGTTTTGCTGTTATGGAAGCAGTTTGTCTGGACAGCGTAAGGTGGTGTTCACTTTGTGACTTCCAACAAATCATCAGATTTATTCAGACTAATCAGCTCTTCATAAACAAAAAGCATTTCTTGCTTTCTTATTTTCCAGGATGTTGAAAATTTGTTTCCTATGCTAATTTAGCTTCTACTATTTTGATAGGATTTGAAGTAGCTAAACAATGAGGACCAAGGGTTCTTTTAATCTTCCTTGGAAAATTAGAAACACATTGTTAGTCACTGTCTTTAGATTCCTCCCCAGGTCTAGAGGACTAAAGAATAATGTTTGCTCACTTGGAAAAATTAATTAGTTATTTCTTAGGGCTTATTGGAACATTGTTATTGTCTGTAGAAAGTGATTATCTATTCATGAATTCCCCACCTGTGTTTGTTCCCTTTTCTTCCCCTTGATCTTTAAA